CACGAAGAGAATGTAGCGGCCTTTCTCTTGGATTTTCATCGCACCAAATTCTAGAAATATGTCTTTCGAATAAAAAGAATTTCGTTTTATTAGCAAATCAAAAGGGTCAGTTACTTCTGGGACACCCTGTACTTTAGATCTCGTCTGGAATATTTTTCGTTCCTATTTCGCCTTGTATGCGGTAGTGGACGGAAGAAGATACGATTGTTCTAGTATCTTCTTCAATAACACGGTAACCTGTCCTACCAACAACGTTGTAGATTTAAAAATCACGATCCCTTGTGGCTTTGCATATTATCGAAGGGACTATTTTTAGTGTTTAAACCTGTATAAAACCGTACCGTTAATCCTCTCAGTACCGTGAGACAGCTTGACCACTCTGGACATGCCAGTCATCAAGATGTCGTGTTATTTCTTCATCTGGCACGCACGCTTAGATACCGCCAGCTTTTTCAAGAAATGTCATAGCAATCTGAAACAAGCTGCTTAGAAGTATCAGAACTTAGCACAGCTATCACTGATTTCCTTGATTCGTGACATTTACGAGGAGGCCAGAATTACGGGTTTAATGAAAGCATGTCCAACCGTCCATATTTAAACTGCTTTATTCGGTGAATATACGGCTACACGACAACCAATTGGCAGTACCGTTGAGCCTGCTTTTGCCGCCAAAATTTACCGTATGTTACCTTGAAAAACTAACAACTTGAGTCGAAAATTTACTACAAAAATAACAAGTAGTAAGTGATACTGAGGTTTATTTTATTCAAAAACAAAATTTCAACATGAAATAAAGCAATAGAGCGAGAAAACCCTGCCTAAAAAAATGTTCGCCGTAGAAACACTAAGCGAACGTGGACCTGTATATATATTGAGGATTGTTGTCAGGGATTCCCATCAGGCTGCGATCTAGTGTCTGTTTGGGGATCGAGCGCACCAAGACTTTGAATGTTCTCTAGCCATGTATCCTAAGTAAAGTGGCACAAAAAGTTTGTTTATTTGTCTTGCAATGATCCAAACCGGTAAAATGTAAAAGCCGCAAATTGTCAGACCAAATATATGTATATATTGATTTCATCATTGTCCCCTGAAGAGGAAGAAGGGGCAATTCCTGAGACCAAATTGTATTTAGGCTGATATTTGGAAAACATTATTATTTTCTTCGTCAGAGCGTAGTGTCTATTCTCCTGCTGCCGTCGAGTGTGTATGTCTGAACGCTAGACGCGTGTTATAACTGCGCCTGATACACGATTGTACCGATCGATTGCTGGTGGCTGTGTGAATTGTCCTCGCTCTCGTGGACGATGAAAGCGAGAATGCCCTCGAAACGTCAGCTTAAATACAACTTGGACTCAGGAATTGCCTCTTCTTCCTCTTCCGGGGATGGTGAAAACAATATTATATCCGGACATTGAATATTTGCGCATATTAACATACATTTATATATATACATATCACTTACGTTCGTAATATGTTGGAATACGTTCACAGTGGGTTTCATCGCAGACGTACCTCTGACCATGCACGACCGGATATATAAGGTTTTGTGGCTCTCTACCCATGCAATGACACCTAGTCATAATGCTCGTCGCTTCGAGGTGTGAGTCTGAAGAGTTTGGACCAATCTAGTACACACACTGTTTTATAGCGCGTTGCCCACAACCAGGCAACCAATGAACTTGTAGATTCCCATGTCACGTGCGTGTTGTTATAGACTCAGGTACATTTTTTCACGTATTAGAGAGTTCGCCAAGTTAGTGTTTTCCATACGTTATTGGCCGTACCATATGAAATTCCTTTTTATTTTCCTTAGGATTCTTGCCATTTTATGCACTAAAGCAACAAATCTCGTGGACATCCATTTTTGGGGAATAATTGAAAAAATGTATTTCTTTTTTGGCAAAAGTAGCTAATGTAGCCCCACTCATATACTCCTAGTCCCAGCATTTTGTCCTGAAAAAAAA